CGGAAGCCAGAGAGCCCAGCAGTCGGGGGAATTCAGCAAGCGCAGCCTGAGTTGAGCGGTCAGGCGGGATGTACCGCAGCCCCGAAGCCCCGCCCCAAAGCGCCAGTCCCGCCCCAAGGCTCCGCCCCGGCTCTCTAAGCCCCGCCCAGGATACGTCCCCGCTCCCCGCCTCCGCCTGCAGTCCCGGGTCCTCCCACTCCCGCGCCCTCAAAGTCTGTGCCCTCTCTTCGCTGTGTGCTCTGCGCTGGTGTCTCCACAGGTGTTTCTCCTCATTCATTTCACAAACTTGTATGGACCCTACCCAGTACGTGCCAAGCCTGGGGAGTACAGCGGCCACCAAAATCACGGCGGGCTCCAAGACTCAAGGAAACAGCTAGTTGACAAAATAAGATGTTTAGTGTTGAGAGGGGCATAATTAGAAGACTTCGGTGGAAATAAGGGAAGGGAACCCCTGCTTCAGATGCTGTAGGCAAGGAAGATCTGAACTCCCGGCATGTGTCCAGAGCCCCTCCTGGCCTTGTCCTGTGTTAGGAAGCACGCCCTATAAAAAGGACTTTAAGGAACCCCCTGGGGCCACCTATCCGGCCCGGTGGGTAGAGCAGCCAAGGGTAGCCAGATGGAGAGGACAAAGCCAACTGCAACAGCCTAAATGACGTCGTGCAAACACTTGGAGGCTAGAAGCTCTGCCCTAGTTGAGCTGGTGGAGGTTGCCATGACTAAAGGTGCAGAATACCTAAAGCCTTAAAGCTAATTGGTCTCCTTCCAAATGCTTTTCCCAGTTATATGAAATTGGTTTTGTGCGTTTCCCTTCTCCAGGAGAACCACTTGCCACAGCTGGATTTCATGTCTGCACAGGTGAGAGGTGCTTCTCAAAGTTGAACTTTTTTCTTTTTATGGTACCAGAGATTGAACCTAGATTAAACTCACTGCACTGTGTCATATCCCCAGGCCTATTTATTTAAAGACAGGATCTCACTAAGTTGCTTAGGGCCTCCCTAAGTCACTAAGGCTGGCTTTGAACTTGCAATCATCCTGCCTCAGCCTTCTGAGCAGCTGAGATTACAGGAGTGCAACTCAAAGTTGAACTGCCCAGCTCAAAGTTGAACTCTTAAACAATATGATCATCACAGTCATATCTGATATTTGGATTTTCTCCACACACTCCAATGGATAGACTAAGTAAATAACATGCTTCATCAACATCACTGAGTACATTAACATATTCACAAAAACTAGGTGAGGATACAGGGAAGTGTTTGTGAAAATAATAAGTACACAAAATAGTATACATGGTACAATCCTAATTTTGTTTTTAAAAACATATGTATGCTGGGCACTATGAAAGACACCTGTAATCCCAGCCACGTGGGAAGCTGAGGCAGGAAGATCACCAGTTCAAAAGCACCCTCAGCAATTTAGCTAGGCCCTAAGCAACTTTCTGAAACCCTGCCTCAAAATTTAAAAAAAATTAAAAGGGCTAGGGTTGCAGCTCAGTGGTAAAGCACCCCTGGATTCAATTCCCAAAATAAATAATAAATAAATAAATATACATAGACAGTTATTTCAAAGGAAAAACACCCCACCATTAATCTTAGTGTGCAGGTAATAAAATGTAAATGTTAGAGATTTATTACATTTATTTATTTATTTGTTTGTTTGTTTGTTTGTTTATTTATTTATTTATTTATTTATGTGGTGCTGGGGTTTGAACCCAGGGCCCATGTGCATGTGAGGGAAGCACTCTTTATCAACTGAGCTATATCCCCAGCCTAAGACTTATTACTTCTTAGTGTTCTTCTTAATTTTATTTATTGTCTAGACTTTTATATGGATATTGAATTTATAATCAGAAAAATACAGTGAGTTTGGTGGTAGGGGTGTGTTTTAGTCAGCTTTTTCAATGCTATGACTAAAAAGACCTGATAAGACAATTTCAGAGGAGGAAAGGTTTATCTGGAGTTCATGGTTTCAGGTCTGTCCAAAGACAACTGGTTCCATTCCTTGGGGCTGGAGGTGAGAAAGAACATGGCGGAAGGGTATGGTGGAGGAAAGCAGCTGGGAGAATGGCTCCAGAAAGCAGAAAAGAGACTCTGCTTGACAGATACAAAATATATCCCCCACAAGTATACCCCCCAATGCCCACCTTCTCCAACCACCCCCTACCTGCCTTCAATTACCACTTGATTAATCTCCATCAAGGGATTAATTTGCTGAGTGGGTTAAGGCTCTCATAACCCAATCATTTCACATCTGAATGTTCTTGCACTGTCTCATACATGAGCTTTTGGGGGATACCTCACATCTAAACTGAAACATGTGGTGTTTTGTTTTCGTGGTGCTGAAGATAGATAGAACCCAAGGTTTTGCAAGCAATACCTACTCTACCATTAAGCTATATTCACAGCCCAATAATGAGTTTTATTTTTTACAAGAGGACAAAACAGAAATTACCCAAGACTTAGATCTCTAGGATTCAGTGCCATTGAAAATTCAAAATTGCTTCCAGTTTAATGGTGTCCTTGAAAAAGTCAACTACTCTTTCAAGTCTTTTGTTTCCCCGAAATAAAGACTGCAGAGGATTAACTTTGTCAGTGGTTTTTTTTTTTTTTGTCTGATCAATTCCTTAAAGGCTTGATAGTTATTGTAAATTATATTATCATATATATTTATATTTCATCATTTGCTTATGGATATTGAGATAAAATTGGTTTGTCAAATCATTTTTTATTCATCAAACTTAATGAACTTTTTTTTGATCTAATAAGTCTGTAAGTTCTCTTGAATTTTCTGTGTGAATAATCATAGAGCCGGGTGTGGTGGCACGCACCTGTAATCCCAACGACTAGGGAGGCTGAGGCAGGGGGAATTCGAGTTCAAAGCCAGCCTCAGCAAAATTGAGGTGCTAAGCAACTCAGTGAGACCCTGCCTCTAAATAAAATTCAAAATAGGGTTGGGGATGTGGCTCATGGGTTGAGTGCCCCTGAATTTAATCCCCAATACCCAAAAATCGTCATCTTCATCCTCAACATCATAGAGTCTGCAAGTAAAGATAGTTTGCATCTCCTGTCCTGGCTTTATTTTATTTCCTTTTACTTGTTTTTTTCTGTGCTAAATTCCCTTACACAGTATAGCAGGAATGATAGTAGTTCTCCACTGCTTCTAATGTGCCACCATTAACAATAGTGTTTGTCATAGATTTTGATAAACCTTTTTTTAGTGTAAGGAAGCATTATTCTGCTTTACTATGAATGAGTGCTGAATTTTATCAAATGTAAAATTTTCCCCTTAATAAAACAAATTATTATCATGGATTTTATGAAACCATTCATTCCTGGGATACATTTGTAACATAGTTTCTTCAATATGATGCTGGGTTCCATTTGATAATTCCATTTATTTATTTATTATTTCGGTACCAGGGATTGAACCTAGGGGCACTAACCACTGAGCAACATTTTTTATTTAGAGACAGGGTCTTACTGAGTTGCTTAAGGCCCCACTAAGCTGTGGAGGCTGGCTTTGAACTTGATATTCTCCTGCCTCAGCCTCCCAAGCAGCTGGGATTACACGAGTGTATGCTATCTGTGCTTGGCTTTTATGCCCAAATTTCTTTCTTTCTTTCTAATGCCCCCGCCCCAAGTACTGGGGATTGAACCCAGGGGCACTCTACCATTGAGCCCTATCTCCAGCTCTTTTTTAAAATATTGAGACAGAGTCTTACTAAGTTGCCTGCTCAGGCCTCAAATTTATAATCCTCCCACCTCAGTTTCTTAAGTCACTGTGATTATAGACGTGGGCCACTAGGCCCAGCTATGTCCGGGTTTGTGTTTAAGACCATCCTCTCCTCTTTGTCTGCTGCTCTCTGATGCACTGGCTCAGTCACCTCCGTGGATTCCATTACTACCACTAAGCCAAAGGTTCCCAGACCCGTATCTCCAGCCCAGCCCTGTCCCCTGAACTCCAGAGCTGCAGATCCTGAATATTCTACGGTGCCAAACGTGTGCCAAGCCCTGGGCTAAGCGCTTTCACCCTCTGTGTCAGTTACCTATTGCCTGTAACACATCATCCCCAAATGTAGATGTTTACAACCACAGACATTTATCATCTCGGGTTCTATGGGTCAAGAATTTGGAAGCAGCAACGTCTGTCTCGAGCTTGCAATCCACCTGTTACCAGGGGCTACCATCATCAGCCACCTAGAGAACTGGCTTCCAATATCACTCATGTGGCTTTTAGCAGAAGGCATTATTTCTTTGTCACATGAGCCTCCCCTGACAAATGGCAGCTGACATCCCCAGAGCAAGTGATCTAAGTGAGAAAATGACAGAAGCCACCACGTCTTTTATAAC